AAAATTAGAATAGGCCGCTGCGTCTATGTACATATATATATGTATATATACATTGTACACCTATAAGCTATGCATATGCGCCGTGACTGTACGTTCATTCTTTTTTATTTTCGACCACGGACCATACGGCGTGTTTCTCGTTGCCTAATCATTTTTCTTTTCTTCCAGAAACGCATCTTATTCCGTCAGAGTTCACGGTATTTTAAAAGACAAAATGCTAATTTAATGATTAAGTCGGGAAATCCCCAGTAGAACAATAGATCGTGAATCTCGAAAATTATTGTTTTTATGTCTCATTGTATGTATTAATGTTTTTTGTGTATAATTTTCAAGTTCACATAAAAGCTAGTTATATAAGCAGAAAGACTACAAAATTGCAGCATATTTCGGCATATGTCGATAATCGCGTCTTTTTAAGTTGCCGCGGCGAAACCGGAGTTTGAGTGTGTTAATTACTAAACGTGGGCCGGTTACATCGCTCGCAAAATTGCATGAATGCATGAATTCTGGCGTGCGAGTAATTTACGAGTACGCCGCGCTGCTGTACGCTGGGCTGGTATTAGAACTAACGCTTGCTCTGTTAAAACATTCATAGCCGGGCTATAGGTCGGCTGGCTGATTAGCCTGCGCGTTATATTAATCAACGAAAATTAATCAACTTCCGAGGCTTAGAATATTCTCGAAATGCAAAGACTGTTCTGTCGTTAATTTCACGCGAGAAGTTTGTGCCGGAATAGGCTGATGAAATAAAGAAAAAAAAATTACTTGGTGTTCGTTTCGCGACTTGTCGTCACTTCCCCACTCGTTATTTTTATGTCTCGTGTTCAAAGTGCCGCACTGTTGTTTAATCTTTCATTCCGCGCCATTTGTGATAAAAGAACCACCGGACGTCGCTCTTTTCCGCGGTGCACTTGCGAGCCTCCCTCGAGCCGTCTCCTCTCGTTGCTTTGATTTTTCTCGAGATGTTCGCCGAGAGGCATTCCACCGCATGAATTCTTAACCGGGCGAAATTAGCGAATTAAAAGTGCGAGAGGGACGGAAAAACGCGCGCGGCCGGATCCCTGAAACAGGCCGGTTGCCGAAAGGAAACGAGAAAAGGATCTCTCGCAGTATGAATTCAGGAGCGATATTCCTTTTCCCTATTTTACAGCGGCACCTCGTAAATACGGATATGCAGGTTCATTTTCAAACTATTCTGTGCGCGCGCGCGCTCGCGAAAACGGGACGGCGGGTAAACGAAGGCAGAAGCCTTAATTTTTATTCATGCGCCGACGAAACGGCAATTTTTCGCAGTATTAAGTGAGCTTTAAAATTGTCCGGTCAATTTCGTCGGCAGGACGTGCTCCTTTTTTCAAGCACCGCTAACATCGACGACGCCCCCGTCAGGGCGAGAGAGAGAGAGAGAGAGAGAGAGAGGGAGAGGAAGATCCCTATTTTTAACCCTTTCCTTGTAGTCCTTGCAATGGACACAAAGAGCCGCACCTTGTTCCGCGGGATATAACCTTCACGCGAAATTACATCCGATAGGAAATCGTTACGAACTTGCTCCGGGGCGAATGCCGATGCGTTATCGATAACTATGGCCATTACGCATCACCGTCTTTTGTAACGTGGATTGCGCTCATCGATGGATCATTAGGTCATAGATGTTACCGTATGAACGCCCGGATTACCGGCTTGCGCAGAGCGGCGTTTAACCATCGCTCACCGCGCGATCCTTTTGTGACTAGAAATCCGCGTCATATTCTATCGCCGGCTGCTTTTCGGATACAGCGATTTTCGCAGGCGGCAACACATACGCGGCTCGTCCGCTTAGCGGCACCGGGAAAACCGATTAATTTCTGACGCGCAGGGTGGCCGATCATTAGATTTTGGCCGGGAAATTGAGTTTTGCCCGCTGCCGAAGGGATAATCTTTGGTAGCCTCTGGCCTGCTGCTATGCGCGCGCGGACTCTATCTCTGTGTCCCTCTTTCTCTCCCTTCGTATGCATCCCGATCGTCGCATACGCTTACGGACACGTACATGTATACGTGCGCCCGCGCGCACAAGAGTGTGTACGTACTGAATATACATACTGCGTTCACGCGCTCGCGCGGTCGTGTGCGCTTGCGACGGTGGCGGCGCGTAACTTCGGTTCCATTATTGAGCGATCGGACGATTGAAAAATTCCCGCGCTTTTTCACGCGTGATCGTCTCGGTGGGGCGAGCCGAACCCTCATTGGTCCGGCCGTTTGGTCATCCTCGCGCGTTGCTGGCGCAAGAGGGGGTGGACGCACACCCTCTCTCCCTTGTTCTCTCGTTCGTTTCTCTCACTCCAACCCTATACTCTGCACCCTCGACCAGGTATTTGTCTAGGCTACAGATATTGACCAGCTATCGATATCGTGGACACTCGTCGATATTATATTCTCTACGCCGCCTTCTCCCACCGCGCCGACCTCGTTCTTTCGTTTCGTTGTCTCCCACCCCGTCACCGCGCGTTTTAACGGTTGCGCGTTCTCTCGCAAATTTCGGTTAATGAATTATATGTATAATATATAGACACGCGTGCATATATACGCGCGAACGATGTAACTCGTGTGCATATTTGCGGAGCGAACGGAACGGATGAGGTGGCGAGAGAATGAGAGGAGGGAGGAGTACGTCGGCACGCCGGCGAATTCCCGCCGATTTTTGAACACGAGCGACCAATCGCCGCGTGCCCCGCCGCGCCAGAATTTCATCGAAATGAGAAATCAATACGCGGTACAAACGCTATAACGGAATTGTTGCCGTTGCAAAAATACAGGGTTTGCAAGTATGCAACTTCGCACGGTAGCTCGATATTAATTAGTCTGTAGCAATATCAATTATACTTTTTTTTATTTTTATTTTTGCGCCATTAAAGCTAAATATAAAATAACAAACAAATAAATAGGCGTGTAATACAGCAGTACCTCGCGAAACAAAAGTGCAACATTATAAACATCGCAGACACGAGTTTTGAATATTTATGTTGTTCTACTTCGCCGCAGAGTTTATGTGTTGTATGTGAAGCCGTTTCGCTTATCAAGAGACAATGGAAGTAGCGATAAAACATAAAATCGTTAATTAAGATCGACTAATGCAAATTAAGTATCAGAGCCTGTTTGTTCGGGTAGAATTAAGATTTATGATTTACCTGGAGTCGACACAAGTTTGTCGAGTTTGCATGCGATATGAGTATAAATTTTGCGCGATTCGATCGTTCCTCCTCAAGACGCTCGAAAATAGAAATATTCCGATTCACGCGGCTGAAACCTCAACCTGAATGCTCGCACGAGATACCGCTACAAGTTTCCGCACCCTCTATCCCTCGTATACGCAGCCGAGCGCTCGGAGATTGCATACGCGGGTGCATTTAAAACATTTTATCGGTCGAAGTGTGGAAATCTAAAGCGACCCTCTACGTATACGCGCGCGTGCATACACGCCCAGCTCGAGCACCACCCTGGCTCGGAGGAGGACGATGACGAGGGGTGGGATATGTGGAGAAGGGCGGTTATTAATGTAAGGGGTGGCTGAGCAGTAGTTATTTGGCCGTGGGTGGTCGCAACAAGAGGGAGAGAAAGAGAAAGAGAGAGAAAGCAAGAAAGAGAACCGCAGAGAGATAGACAGAAAGAGAAGACGAGGAAGGTCGAGAGATAGGCCGGCTAAAATCAATGCGAGTCCTTCTTTCGACGCTATTTACGGTTAAGAAACGCTCGGCAGGCTCGCGGCCGCGAGGCGACGCAACGGCGGAAATAAAAAGATAAGCGACGAGCCGGTGGAAAACCAGGTTAGCTCTGGATGATATTCTCGTCAAATCCGCGGCAGAGCGTTTGCTTTTATTATATAAATCGCTTGCTATCGAGTTGTGCGACGACTGCTGGCTCGAAGACGCGCAACGCGAATTTGTGTCGCGCGATTCGGGAAAAAGTTTAAGGGGACGCCTCGTTACATCGCGCGATAAAACAAGGATCCGTTTACTTTGTCGACGAGCTTCGTTCTTCCAATCAATTGTTATACTTAGAGTATCTCTTTTTGCTCCCGAGACCGATTCGATTAAATAGCTCGAATACCCGACGCGCGGGGCCGTCTCTTCTTCCTCTCATCTTTTTTTTTTTTTTGCCTCCTCCCCGCTACCTCGCCAAAGCAAACCTTCGTTAAGGTCAACGAGATTTTTCCAAAGGTTCTAGTAGTCGTGCGCGCTGCTGACCGTTCGCTCTTCTGCGAGGCTAATACCTTCCGAGTGACTACGCTCATCCCTTAATGAAATTCTTTCTACCCGGATGCGACCTATTGGCTTGCCTTTGCAGCCAGATCAAGTTTTCTCATTATTGCAAATCCTTCGTTGCCCTGGCCTGGTCGATGTTGTTTCAGCCTGCCTTCTTTGCGCGGATGTGCATCATTCTCTAAATATCGAAAGGGAGACTCTCGCGGATAACGGCGAAAGGGCGAACAGGACCGCGATACACGGCGCGCGCGGCACTCGTTCAATTCGTTCATTCGAAATCTACGAGCGGTAGAATTATTTTACTTGCGCATGTTGCATGCACAAAGCAATTTCGCACCGGCGCGCATTCAAGTTAGTCACAATCCGGGACGCATGATTGCCCGTACAGACAATAACTGCATATTAATTTATTGATTATTGGCTATAGCCCGGGCGATATAGTATTCATAGAATTTACTATAACAGCAATATATTCGTGCACTAATTTATTGACCAATAACTCGGTGCGATTCTATAACGACGACGAGCCCTGGGCAGCGCGAGAGATGTGGTGGGGCAACCGGAGGTTTAACGCGTATTATTCTGCATTAATTTATCGTGGGCGGTGCCGATTATGCGGCGGCTGATTTTAATTCAGCGTGTAATCGGGGGAAGAAACGTTTCTTCACACACACTTTCTCTCCTTCTCGACGATCGCGTTTCTTCCGATCAACAACAACGATTATATCTCTTAAGGTATATAATATAGCGCAAGAGATCACTCACCCGTATGCAGTCGTGTGTGTTGCTGCACGTGGCTAAGCTGCTTGAACCTGCGGTCACAGTAGCTGCACTTGTACGGCTTCTCGCCGGTGTGGACCCTGATGTGCTGCACTAGCTGGTGATTGCTGGAGAACGACTTGAGGCACTGCTGGCACTGGTGCGGTTTAACCTCGTTCCCGGCGATCATGCCACCCGGTCCGACGCCGACGCCGACACCGACGCCCAGACCGGCCAAGCCGCCGGCGACGCCGCCGCCGGGCCTTCCCGCCAGTGCACCCGCGCCCAGCTCCCTCGCGTGCATCTGCATCGCGCTCTTGTGCATGAAGATCTGCGAGAAGAACTGCCGAGGTTAGTTGGTACGCTGTACTTTTTGCCCGAGCAACGGGAGTGATGGCAGATCGACCCTGACCGCCTCGTTAATAGTCGATTGCCATCGTTGTAGTCATCGCCGAAAACTGAAGACGTCACCTCGCCTTTTTCGAGTTCGCAACAGTCGAACCACCACGTTTTATATCACGTTTCAATGTTATAACTGAACTAATGATTATTTAAGTGTAAAAATAAATATCGATTTGAGGGTAAGTAAGACGAGATGACCTCAAGACGAAACATATCATGGAACTGAAATTCAATTTCAATGATGTGTGTAAATAGCGTACCGTTCTAGCTTGCTGTACAAAAAGAAATTTTGAAAAGTTTAAACAACCGTACTGTTAAAAAAAACTTTCAAAGATAAATATTTACTGATAAGAGACAGCAGCGCTCCATGATACGTTCCTCTTTCAGTTTCGGCTGGTCTGAAAACGCGAACAGTTCGTACGATCCTCGTGTATCCGTTGTTTTGTGTTGAATTGTTATCGGTAGATATGCTAAGATTAAAGCACAAACGTGCCATAAACCGAGAAGGCACGTGCTCAATCGTGAATATTGCGACGGTGTATCGTCAAAGTCGTGTGGTAGGTAGTGGGTGGTTGAACTCGACGGTTAGAAGTTATCAAGGTCGTGATACTGCGAAGCAGAAAGCCAATGTTTATAATTGCGCAGCGGAAGTGCGGTGCAACTCGACCCAACGACCGATACTACGCGGTTAGCTCGCGCTGGATCGCACCCGATTTCATTAAATCATTAAAGCGCACTTGCTTGTTTTACGAAGACCATGTCATTTGACAAATTTAATAACACATTGTTGTAAGTTTCGATTTACGTCTATGTTTGTTTGGAGCTGCTGCTATACATAGTATTTTTAAAATATTCCGTCAACTGTAAACCATCACTATACACTCAGATCAGCTATGTGCTTACGATTTATCAACTTTGCTTCCATCGATCCCGACACAAAGATGACAAATTCTCGTGTTACATTGATCGAACAAAATTCGCGCTCTTCGCGAAGCAAATACAAAAACAACTCAATCGCTATACTACCGCGTTTCTTCCTCGCCGCGAGGAAGAACCGAAACTGATAGAAAACGACGGATCAGGTCGCAGCGTAGCCCGGCCCGGAGAAACGTTCAATTTCGGGTTCTGCTTGCACGGAGAACAGGTGTTGCGCCACTACCGCGGGTGTGGGTGTGGGTGAACGAACGAAAGGGTTAACGTTAAGGTACACTGTACAGTCCGTGGCAAGAGTGATCGGGCGAACGGAATTCGCAAAGAAAACTTGGCGGAATTAAAGGCAGGAGGGAGAGAGAGGGAGCGAAAAGACGGCGCGGAGGATTTTATTAAAATATGTTAAAACTGTAATTAAAATCGAAAAATCTCGTGAGAAGTTTTAAGAATCTTAGGTCACCCCTTTCGCGACTAGAGGAGCGCACCGGCCATCGCGAGCGAGAGAGAAGGGGGCGAGACAGAGAGAATTGAAATTGTCACCGGGGGTTCTCAAGTTTCCGCGAGTTCAACCCTTTCCTCTACTTCCCTCTCCCATTCCCGTTCGACGTGATTGCGGATACTTGACGGGACGACGACGATCTCGGGCTGGGCATCCCTGGACTTTTTAATCCCCGTGGGAGAGGGAGAGCTGCCCGACGCAATTTTATCCCGCGCGACTTTTTCCTCGCCTTTTTCTATCTCCGCGTCCGGACACGCTCGGGCCGGCTGTTGTTCGTCGTCGATTTGAATGAAATTGCTCCTGTTTTACGGGTACTTTTGCGCGAGGGGGAAGTTACGAACGATGATGCCTCGTTTAATCGATGTACGCGTATGTACGCACGACCGGTGCGACCTGACGAACACATGTCTCAGTTGCAGAACTGAAGTTTATTTAAAAAATTCTTAATTTACGGAGACATAAATATGGGGAGAAAATAATTAAGTAATCACGTCAAATATATAGTCGCTTTAACTTTGATGCAGAAACAAGCTAAAAAATATAATAGAATATTTCTTGGGTATGTATCTCGTGTTGCTTGTTTAAAAATGCTCGTAATTGCTTGCCAACACTGGTTTTCCCTTTCTAAATCCTTTGCCCCTCGCGAATGGACTTTCACGTTGATTAACCAGGGTCGGGAATGACAGAAGGGTTCGTGAGAAACGATTTGACGCCGAGGCGAAGTCGCGAATTTTTAACGATTGTCTCGAGCGGTCCATCGAGATTTCTCACAAGAAAAAAAGTTTTGCCAGTCTTGATGTACTAAGAAATAAGTATTCTTAGCAATTAAACGCTAGTTTTATTAGTTTTGAAGTGTTATCGAAGATCGTATGCATACATATATGTTGGTCTCTTAGGACTTCAGGAGTATCGACATACGAGCAATGGCGGCTATTATTCTCCGTGGAAGTTTTTCGACCGAGTTCGGCGAGAACGGGCGCGCCTTTCTTAAATTTCAAGACTACGCGGTCGTTAATCAAATTTTTATCTCCTGGCAGACGGAAAATTGCGTTGCCCGACGCCCGACCATACTGGCGGTTTGAATCTTTTTTTCTGATTTATCGCTGTCGCCAGCCGCGGGAAAAAAAAAGAAAGTCGCGGTCGCGCCGGGGCCCGGGACGAGAAATGGCAAGAAGGAAGGAAAGAAAACGGAAAGAGTTGGCCCGCGAGCCGTCGGCTTAATGTCTTTAATAATGGAAAAATATATCAAATGACACCAACTGTATTTTCTCGAGAGAGAGAGAGTATCTCCCGTACCGTTCTTATTCCTCGCAATTTCGCGATATTCTAATTTTTATGTCTGTCCCCCCTGTGTGTCTGCCATTTTTTATTAACTCTCGGATCGCTCATTAAGTCCACGTTTTCCTTCTCTAATGTAGTCGATTCCAGAAGCGTCTACTCTTGTAAGAAGAGTAGCGAATATTTTCAGTCCACGTGACTTATTAATGCGTGATAAATGCCAGGCTTCTATCTTATTTTGTAGCTGTTTTATTTCGACACGAAGTCATCTTCGGTGCACAGTCGCGTCTGACTCCTCCGCGGCGACTCCGGCTTTGAAAAATGCACGACCCCGTTTCCCCGCTATTCGAATCGCGACGGATGGGTTCCGTTCCTTTACGTTCTCTCACTCCTTGATGCTGACGCTCGAAGGGATCGTTAGCATTTCAGGAGGAGCCGACGCATAAGCAACCCTTCCTCTTTTATTTCTTTTTTTCTTTCGCTACCTTTTCTCCTTCCCTCTCCCGCCGTGAATTACGTTCGTGAGTAACGTCGGACCACTCAAAGTGGGCTACTTTATACACTTGGAATACAAAGCAAAGGTCTCACCTGCTGACCATATGCCTTCTCTCCACGCGCGCGCACACGCGTATATACGCGCGTACCCTTCGTCCACCCACGCACGTCGGCCACGCAGCGGCTCACATATGGTATATTCCTTGTCCGTGTATGCGCGTGTGTGCGTATGTACGATACGCGAGCGCATACGTGTTACGGCGACAACGTCCAATCTAACCTAGCATGACCTGACTCATTCGCGGACCTACCTACCTACCTACCTATCTATCTATCTATCTGTCTTAACTTTGGATAGTATGTATACAGTAATATAAAGAAAAAGAGAAAGGAAAAAAGAGAGAGAGACGGAACGCCACCCCAACTCTCCCTATAATTGTCGACTGTAATCCGCCAGAATCGTTGCGCGTTAATCCTCTGCGAGTATGTTTCCGGTCGGCGCGAACGATTCAGCTCGCCGATCAGCTGCGTAAAAAGGACAAGCCGGTGATTTGATTTCTTTGGAATTGATCCTCCTGCGCATCTTGTGTCGCTACCTTGCTTCTTCGCATCTGCCTAATGATTGAGTCAAATGCGGAAATATTCTAAGTGCAGCTCGATGCGATATAATATCTCTCTGCATAAATCGTTTGAATTAAAATAGAAAGTATATGTACGAAATATTGTCAGTTTTTTCAATCAAGTGAAAAAGAAAACAGGAAAAATACCATCGGTTTCACATTTAAATAAATTTCTGCATATTTAAAAAAAAAATCAAATCAAATCTTTTCGTCAGAAGTCGAGATTTCGGGTGTAAAGATGCTATTTTTTGTTTCCGTCTACGGTAGGCAAAATCGGGCTTCCTGTTTTGTCGATAGGATCAAATAACACGATGCGGCACGTCGAAATGAAGGACGCTGAAAGGTGGTCGTTATCCTGCGGCTTGTGTGAGGTGGGCGAATGAAAAAAAAAAATATCAGGCAGGCCGCGAGATCGCGCGATAGCGGACTATCGATCGTATTAACGTGCGTCGGCGGACAGCCAGTCAAGGCCCAATGTCAAGAAGATTGCCAAGCGAACATCGATGATCGAGCGAAAATCTATCAAACGATCAGCCTTGCGGTCTCTATCGTCTTGACGTCGTCGTCGGTAATGCTATATATTCGGCTCGGCTTGAATTACTCGCGACACGATAGACTTGCAAAATGTTCGCAAATCCCGCTATTCTTTCGTAGAACTAATTGAGAACAGCGACACGACGGAAAATGCAATGTCCACTTCCTCGACTTGTGTGCGAAAAAACAATCTCGATTCGAAAGTTTTACGACGCGTTTCACGTTAACTTTCACGAGCAGGATTAAATATTCAACGGTCATTTTTAGCGCGGCATCTCCGGCGTTAATGATTAAACGCGAGTCGATAATTTCGAGACCATTTCCGTAACACTCGCTGCTTCATGCGATTTTAACGCGACGCGTGAATCCCAAAGACGCGAGGGATCGATCGATCGAAGATCGTACGTAGGTACGCGGCGGCAACGACAAGTCGTAGTTTCGATCGCACGACGATTACCAGGTGAACACACTCCGTAGTTAACTGCGGGTAAAGACACTCTGGCGGGTATAACCATAATTCGAATCACGTGGGTAATTTAATAAGCGGTCATCACAAGTAGCGGTTTCCACCTC